GAGTATTGGCTTTCCATGGCTGACTGTCACTGCTGACTGGTGCCCATTTCTTTGGACAGTGTCTGAAGCAGATGTGCTTGGGTGGACTGGTGTGCAGTGCATTGCCCCAAAGCTTGGGATATGTGCTATAGCCACAGAATTCCTGGGTGCCTGTGGCTAAATCAGCCTGCCATGCACCTAAGCACCCTCTCTGTAAAACTGTAGGTAGGGTTAACCCTTGCCAGGGTGTTGTGAGGATAATGGTACAGGTTAGGATTTTTTATTGCAGCAGGGCTGAGTCATCTCTGAATCGAGGGAAATTGTGCTCAAGGACCAATTTCAATAAAGGTGCTTGTGTAAAAGTTTCAATAAATACCTGTGTAGGAAGGTGATTGATTACTTGAGAGCACAAGACAGAGTAGCAGCAATAGTTTAAAAGGGTGATACACTCTGAAAAAGGAGGGATATAAAAGACACCCTGCCCCCTAATGAGGGAGCAAGGAAGCTCCTGAAGATTGCTGCAAGCCACTTGTCCTGCAGTGTACTTCAAGTGCTGCAAAATTTTGAGAATCATGGAGTACCAAAAAGTCCAGTGTGGTTCCCCAGCAAGATCCCAGCCAGTTTGCAGTCCTGGGGGGCAAAGAACTTACCCTCTCATTGTAGCAGTCCCTGGCACAAGAAGGAATTTTTAAAATTGCCTTTAGCAATGTGGTGTCTAAAGTGTTTGCTGAAATCAAAGCTGTTAAATAAAGCAACTGTGGTTATGTTTCAAAATGTCTTTTCCCATTTTTTAATAAAATTTAAACATGTCTCTAAATGTGGTGGGTGAAGAGATGTCTTGGGGAAGGTGCTGTGTTTGGATGGTCCTTGGTGCTGTTGATCTGTTTTTAGGACTTTGGGCAGCACAGATCCATTGTTTGGCACAGCACAGACGTGCTGCAGAGGTTTGAAGCACAGTTGAAGTTATCAGGCTGTGTAGGCTTGCTCTCTGCGTTTGTGTGTCACAGTTAACATCTGAGTTAAGGAGCTGAAGTTTAAATGTCAGTTGCCTGCACCTGACAGCCCACATGTGTTTCTAAAAAGAAGTAAATAAAATGATAATTATTGAAGAGGGAAAAAAGGTGGTGTTGGATTCTGACTTTTGGAGAGAGAGTGTGTGGTTCTGAAGGGAGAAGACAGCATGGTCATGGATGCCTGTGGAAGAATGAACAGGGGAAAGAATGACAAGGAAAGAGGAGAGTAAAAGAGATGACAGAAGAATGGGTTAGTGAAGGGATAACATGTGAGGAGAGAAAAAACGAAGGTAGGTAGAGAGACTTTACCTTGTGATCAGAAATGGAAACAAGGTAAGAAAAGGAAGGGATGAAAAAGACGCATTCAGCAGGAGAGAGCTGCACCAGTGATTTTCAGGATAATCAGACCATGAGAGGAATCAGTAGGGCTGCACCAGGCTTCTGTATGGATCTGTGCAATGAGTCCATTAGGAGAAGCATTGCCAGCAGGTCGAGGCAGGAATCCAACCCATCCACTCAGCCCTGGAGAGGCTCCTCTGGAGTGCAGTGTCCACTTCTGGGCTCATTAAAGAGAGACATGGAGCTCCTGGAGCCTGTCCAGCAGAGGGGAATGAGGACGATTTGGAGACGAGCATCTCTCTTGTGTGGGAAGGCTGAGGGAGCTGGGCCTGTTCAGCCTTTAGAAGAGATGACTGAGGGGGCTCATCAGTGTCTATAAACATCTCCAGGGAGGGTGTCAAGGGTGGATCCAGGCTCTTCTCAGTGGTGCCAAGCACTGGGACGCAGGGCAGTGGGCAGAAACTGATGCACAGGGAGCTCCAGCTGAACATGAGGAAGAATTTCTTTACTGTGTGGGTGACCAAGGAGAGATTCCCCCACTAAGGTTGTGGTGTCTCCCTCTCTGGACATGTTCCAGCACTGTCTGGAGGCAATCCTGTGCCACGTGCCCCAGGCTCTGGGGTCACCCTGCTTGAGCAGGGAGGTGGGGCCCCATGATCTCTGTGGTCCCCTCCAGGCTTACCCATTCTGTGATTCTGTGACACAGTTGCATTACTGCCAGCCCAAGCTGCTGGCCTTGCTAGCACTTTATTCCCTGTACATTTTCACCATCCTCCTGTTCCTCTCCTCCTGCTGTGCCATTTCTGTGGAAAGAGGACCTCACTTTTCCTTATTTTTCTGTCTGTTGTTGCATATCATCACTCTTCTCTAGTGATCAAAGATGTCTCTAGGGTGTTCTTTCTTTACAATTATCAGTTTCATAATCTGAGAATTACGTGGGTATTTTATGACAGATAGTATTTAGTCATGATGATTTTGGGTGAATCTTACTAAGATGAAAACAAAATTAGTTGAGAGGAAAAAAAGGAGAAAAGCAGGAGGAAATGAAATTACATAAATAGCATGAATATTTTTTTAGAAATAGCGAGGAAAAGTGTGGTGGTAGGAATGAGGAAATGGAGACTCAAATCTAATTTTTTTTTTAATGGCACTTAGAGAGTGATAATGTCTGGTAGCCAGCACAGCACAGGTCAAGCAATTTCAGCAAGTGTTCTGTCCCCTGTGATAAATTCTGTGAGGCAGAGAATCACTTCTGTTTAAGGCTATGCAAGAGCTTTGGAGTTAAGCTGCAGATAGTAGAAAACATCCCCACAGCTAGATTAAGTTATGTACCATACAAATAGTTTGTTGCTCAGTTATAACTTGCTTATCTGCAGCTTTATCTTGTTATGCTTTTTGTTATTGCCAGACTCTCTCTGGATCATAATTTGTAATGGTCTGCTCAGCTTCCTTCCACGTTCAGTTGAACAGATAAAGTATCTTTGTAGCAGTCCTGATTATAAAGTCACTGTACTGTCACTTGTTTCATTTTCTCCATTTATTGACGAAGCAGTGGCAGAACATTTGTCCAATAATAGATTTGCAGAGTGGAATGTTTTGCTGTGGTTTTAGGAAATCATTTTGCTGGTTTTAGCAGGGAAGGAATTCAACTGGCAGGGGTTTGTCTCGTCAGCCCCAGTGGAAGCCTGCCCAGCTAATGAGCCTCTGGAAGATCATGGCTCAGATGTGCATAAATGATCTGCCCATGGTGCCTGAGCTGAGCATTTGCTCAGCCAGAGCCAGAGCCAGAGCCAGGTGACAGCCCTCCCCACACTGCCAGGGCCCCCAGGAGCAGGGGGCTCTGCACACCTGGAGGCAGGAAAAGAGGCAGGAAAGGAGCCACTGGCCTGGCTGAGGGGCTGGCACTGAGGGGAGCAGGCTCTGGGGAGAGACGGGCTCTCAAGGGTGGGGGCACAGGCTGAACAGACAAGTAGAGGCAAAAGACAGACAGACAGATGTTGTCCAGACCAGGGCATGTGCTGGCATCAGTGGTGGTGGCAGATTTTTACAGTGATGGCTGTAAAAACTAGAGCACAGTTCCTTTCAGGTTGTGTAGCCGATTGAAACTCCTGCTTGAGTTTCTCCTGGTGCAAGAATGTCACTGTGAAATGTGACCCTAACCTCATGTGGGGCTGTTCTGCCCGCACAGCAGTGTCCTACTGGCTTTTGTGCTGGCTCAGGAGCTTGCTCTATGTAAAGGTTTCTAGCCCTGCTGAGGGAAAGCTGACAGTACCTGGTGGAATTTGTGCTTTTACCATCTGTCCTTTTCAGAAGAGAAAAAGAAATTACATTAATCTTTTCTAAAAACCACAAAGTCCAGAATTTAGAAGCTGTGATCTTCCAGGATTAATAAACTCAATATAAATTTGACATATTGTGTGCCGTGCAGGAAGAGCTTCTGTTTTCCTCTGGAGGATACCTGTCTTGTCTTCTGCAGCGGGTGCTTTGGAGAGGAATGAAAAGCAGCGTGCTGCAGTATGACCCATGTTTCATTTGCTGTATAAATTGAAAGGTTTAGAGTTGATGAGGCTGGGGATTGCAGGAGGGAAAAAGGCATGGTCTCTAGATTCCCAAGCTGAATTTCATCTCTGCCACAAGCTCCCTCTATAAGCAATAATAATTTTCAGCATTGTGTCCCCGTCGTGTTCTGAGATGCTTTTTCGAACCATAGGGATGTAATCCGGTAGTCAGCTGCTTAAACCTTGTGTGAAGTCTGTCATGCTGAACAAACATGGAAGTATCAAATTCAGGATGTGCCTACAGACTTCATTTTGCTGCTTAGTAATTTTTCAGAATTTGAATTTGCACTGCTAACTGTCCTTGAATGCAGAGGGGTGATATGTATGTGCTGTGGATTATGTATCTGGGTACTCAAGGACACCTACCTACTACCTGAGCATTTCTCAGGTAACTAAATCAGAAATGGCAACAGAAGTCTGTTAAATCAACAGCTTGATTGCTCCTAAGTATTGTGCATGTAACTTCTTATTATGCTGTTTGGGCAAAAATCTAAGTAAAAGGAACAACTTCAGTGCTCAGCAAGGCCCACAGTTGGTTTTACCTCTTATAGGAATTAATTTCATGTCCTGTTATGTAGTACTTGTTAAAACTTGTTAAAACCTTCCCCTTGCATGCAGAACCTTCCCTGTCAACTGGTTGCTCTTCAGGGAAGTGGAAAGGCATTCATTGCTCTAGAAATACGAGCAGACAAAATGGAGATTGCTGCCTGGACTATGTGTTGGACAGCTTTGGTGATGGCCAGACACACCTCCAGTTGCACTCCATGTGAGCTGCAGAGCAAGCTCAGGAAGCTCAGACATGCTTCTGTTGTGTCTGTGAAGAGTTTTCCCCAACACCTTCTTTTTTAAACCTTCAAGAGAGATTTATTATTTTCATTAGGTATAAAGGTGACAGTAATCAGGCTTAGACTTCAGGTTAATGCAGTGACACTAGATCTCATTTTGACTAGACAGGCATGGAAAAATGAGAATTGTTTTTACCAGCTTTGCCAGTTGAGCATCTGGTGATGCCTGGGGGGCGAGTAGCATAGTGCATTGAAAATTAATTGACTATCAACCTCACATTGCTCATTCAGAGCCCTACAAACGTTTATTATTCACGATGTGTGGCATCCTTCCAGGTGTTGGACACACCACTCTGAGATGACAGCGCAGAAGGCACCACAAGTTACAAGTCACAAGGGGTTAAGACTGCTCTCTGTTCCCCATCTCAGACTTGATCTTTGCTCTGCCCAAAGTGTCTGCTGTCCCCTGTATGTTAAATGAATGCATTAAACAGACTCACTTTTCAGTGAATTAGCATTTGATCAACTTAATTTTTACATCCCTGTGTAGAAATAACTAAATGGCTTTATTTACCAGCTGTTGTGGTGTTTTTTCATTACTGAGTGGAGTTTTCGGATGGAGATGTTGTGTTATAGTGAGTGACACTCATTACAGATCTTGGGTTTCTGCTTTCTTAGTGTGGACCTTTCTGCTCAGCAGCAGTTTTCTGGTAACTATGTTGTATTCTAGAACTATGTTTCTGCATTAAATGTATCACATTTTTATAGTCTGTCTCCTTCGGGGCCAGCAACAAATGGAAGCAGGCTGATGTGCACCAGGGGGGTGTGTGTGTGTGTGTGTGTGTGTTATTGGTTAGCTTTGTTCCTGCCTTGGCAAGGAACAAGGATCTGATTTCTCCATGTATTCTCCTTTCTCTACAGGTATTGAGAACCTGCCATTTGAATTACAGAGAAACTTCCAGCTCATGCGAGATCTGGATCAGAGGACAGAAGGTGAGGATCGGGAATGGTTTTGTTGCCAAGACAAGGAGTATGTAGCTTGACCAGCTATTCTTTGCTTTGCCTTTGTCATAGGGATCTCCAGGCAGGGGAGGAGGCCTGGAGCTGCTCCAGTCATTGAGTCTCTCCTGATGGAGAGCACTGTGGTGTGTGAGGTGTTTGTGTATTTAATGTTTCGCTTCTTTCAGACCTCAAGTCAGAGATCGATAAGTTGGCCACGGAGTATATCAGCAATGCACGGACTTTGTCTTCAGAGGAAAAACTGGGGCTTCTCAAGCAGATCCAGGAGGCCTATGGGAAGTGCAAGGAATTTGGGGACGACAAGGTTCAGCTGGCAATGCAGACCTACGAGATGGTATGAAGGGAAGTGCCTCATGCTTATCATGTGAACGCCCACACTAAAGCCGCCCATCTCGCAAGGCCCTGGGCTCTCATTTTTAGGCCATGCCCACTCTTGCTCCTCAGCTCTTTAGTGCCAGCCCCCTGCCCCTTTGTCCCCTGTTTGTCCTCCCTCTGCCTTCCTGGGCTCTGTCCTGTGGTAACCCCTTCCCTGGTGTCCTTGCAGGTGGATAAGCACATCCGGCGGCTGGACACAGACCTCGCTCGCTTTGAAGCAGACCTGAAGGAGAAGCAGATAGAGTCGAGTGACTATGACAGTTCTTCCAGCAAGGGCAAGAAGAGTGAGTAGCACCACTGGGCTGCACATTGATTCAGGAGGCAGCCAAGTGACTGTGGAAGTGGTGGGGATGAAGGCAGGCTCTGGAGTGGTGCAGATCAAAGACTGTTGCGCTGGAGGCTGAAGGACAGGTAAAAAGATGGTGACTGGGCTCTTCTTGTGTGAGCTTATTCAAGGCTGCTAGATAAATCGAGATGGGGTGCATGGCCCAAAGCCAGTACGCATTCCAAAGCAGGGGTGTGCTTTGGTGCTGCAGGGGTTGTCACTGTCAGGTGTCTGTTTTGGTGGGGTGACAGATGCAACACCTTTTTCTCTTCTTACCAGAGGGCCGAGCCCAGAAAGAGAAAAAAGCTGCCCGTGCTCGCTCCAAAGGGAAAAACTCTGATGAGGAAGCACCAAAAACTGCCCAAAAGAAACTGAAGCTCGTCCGCACGTAAGTGTTGAAGGGACTTGAGAGAATGAGAAGCATCACTGGAAATCAGACCAAGGCAGGCCTAGCTAGGCTTCCCTGAGATCCCCAGACTGGAAATGTGTGTCCTCTGTCCCTTCTTGGGAAGCAAGAGGAAGGAAACTTGTTTATTCTTTCAGGGGAGTGTGGGTTGAAGGGAAAAGCAGGTCCCCTTGGGTGTAGGTACTTAAATAAGAGAAGTATCTGTCTCTGGCAAACAAGGGCACTGTCTTGGGACACACAAAGGTACTCAAAGCCAGTTACTTTGCTGACTTGCTTTATTCCTGTTCTGCAGTAGCACAGAGTACGGGATGCCTTCTGTCACCTTTGGAAATGTGCACCCCTCGGATGTACTGGATATGCCCGTGGACCCCAATGAGCCCACTTACTGCCTCTGCCACCAGGTCTCCTATGGGGAGATGATTGGCTGTGACAACCCAGATGTAAGAGCCTGCTCATGATGGAAATGGGGGGAATGGAGTGGAGATGAGTCCTGCATGGAAAGTCTTGTCCTGCTTGGGTGGGCCCTGGGACAGCAAGCAGTGACAAGGAGAGGGCTTACCTCAGGTAGTTGGGATGGCCAGAGGTGTGGCTGGCAAGGACCTCTGAAGTGCCTCTCTCCTCAGGGTTTTCCTTAAAATGTTTTCTTGTCCCTAAACTTAGCAAGGGAGAAGGGGTGTTCTCCTTGCTAACAGTGTGTAGGTTGGGTGTGAACATTCAATCCTTGATCACTGCTAGGGATTTTGGAGTTTGTGATTAAATACTGGGAAACTCTGGTAGCCCAAAACCAACAATTTCAAAAGGAAACTGCTCTTTAACTGGCTGCTCTTCATCCCAACAGTGTTCCATTGAATGGTTTCATTTTGCCTGTGTGGGTCTGACGACAAAACCAAGAGGAAAATGGTGAGTGAAGCAACCTGGGGGGCCCATTTGACCTTTGGAAAGGGGAGGTCCTTGGTGGCAGGGAAAAAAGTACTATATATACACCCACTTAGAAGATATTATTAAAAGGAAAATTTGAATTAAGGCTTTGTCAGGGACCTTGGAAAAGGTCTTTTGGGACCATGCACTTGAGGCTCATGTCATGCCCTAAATGTTGGCTTTGTACTTCCCTTTCTAACAGGTTCTGCCCTCGCTGTTCCCAGGAGAGGAAGAAGAAATAAATTCACAGGAGACCTCAGTACTGCTGCAGGAGCTCTCTTCCCCCTGCCAGGGCCTCGTCCCAGTTCCCCCAGCCCTTGGGGCCTTGGTTGAAGGGAAGTCTTGCCCTGTTTGTGGTTTGGGCCATCCCTGGAATGGTGTGTACCCTCACGGTGGTTCCTGTGTGTTCTGTATCCCTGGTTGTTTCTGAGTCCTTAAGGGAGGCCTTCTCTGTGTACTATTCCAAACAGGTCTCTGAACCTCAAAGGGAATGAATGAGGGCACCAGGGTAGCCACCAGATTCCCAGGGATTCAGGTAGCCCCTGATTTTCCTTGGCTTTCCTTCAGCCTCCTCAGAGTTCATTGCCTGTTCTCTGCTTAGAGAACAAGGCTATGGGATGGGGGAAGGAAAGGAGGTAAGTCTTCAGCATTTTAGGTCATTCATTTTCCTGGATCTTTTTCAGGAGAGAGGGAGTAACCAGGCTACTTCTTAATCTAGTGGGCTGGTTGAGAGACTGAAAACCTGATGTGCTCCCTGTCTTTAACCATTCCACTGCTGGCATTGGGCAGCCTCTTTTGTTGGGGAGAGGAGGAGGCAGAGGGATGTTTAGAGCTAGCTTTGTCTCTCTTATTCCTGGGGTAAACCTGCTGGTCTGGGAGGCACTCTCTGTGAAGGAGGAAGAATTTCTGACACGTGGGGAGAAACAGCTTGGTCCAGTCTGTCTTCCGGCCTCAAAATTCTGCCTTCCTCTTGTGTAGTGGTGCTTCTCCATGGCATTGATGGTGGGAAGTTTGAGGATTCAACTCCCACTTGTATAATACAGAATGAAATAAAATTCATTGAAACCAATGCTCTGTTTGTCACCTTGATGTCACTTCCAAAATTAACTGCAGCAATCGCTCTCTAGTTTTTCTTTCTTAGCTCTGCATTTATTGTAAATGGTGAATGTGGTACAGCTTTTTCATGTAGCAATCCTGTCACTAAAAGGTGACATTCTGCATAAATCAGGCTTGAAAATGTACCTAATGTACTTGCAGAAAGCTACTGAGCTTTCTGGTGGCTGTGAAAAATTCCTGCCCCTGCAGTCATGCCCTCACAAGAAGGTGAATGTTTATTCCCACTATTGTTTGATCATTTACTTCATCAGTTGCTTTCTCTTAAATGAAGAGGAGTGGAGGTGGCAAAGGCCAACCCTCACTGTCTGTTGGGCAGCACAGCTGAGAAGCCATCAGGACAAACCATGTGCCTCCAAGAAGGTGGATAGGTTTTCCAGGCACACTGATAGCTTGCTTCCCAGAAGGTGACAGTCACCTTGTCAGAAACTCTGGCTGCTGTTACTAACATAACATAATAGGGCTCCAAAACAATTCCAGAAGTTCTGCAGTGTCTGCAGATAACTGTGAGGAGATGGCCCATACTGGAGCTCCTCTTCATGAATTCCATTGGCACAGCCTGGAGACTGACAAACCAAGTCTTCTTCCTCCCTGTGGTCTGCTCACCAGGAAGGTTTAAGCCTTTCACCTGAAACATGGAATGTTTTCCTCACCCAAATTACTTGTATGAGGATCCATGGAGGATTTTGCTGGTTTAGTTATGAAGCCAAAGCTCTGCTCGGGTTCAGAGGACAGTGTGGGCTAAGATCAGTGCTACTCCCACCTTGTCATTGCACGGGGACCCTGGCAGCCCTCAGCTCAGAAGCTGGTGCTGTTTTCTGTTCAAGTGAGTTAGCACCGAGTCAGTCTTTGCTTTTGCCTCGAGAAGGCATGTTCATTCTGTTTTTCTGTTCATTCTGCACAGAAAAAAGGATGAGTTCTTCCCCAGGCTGTGGCTTATCTGGTTTGTGGTACCCCTGCCGCAGTCTGAATCTCAATCCCCAGATCGTATTGCATCACTTCCTGGGGCTTCCTTTCTTAAAGAGGGGAGAAGCAAATTCTGGAAGGTGTGGGCTGTGTCTCTGGTATGGTTTTAGTGACAGGAAGACTCTGCCATGATCCAGTGGGTGAGCAGGCTGTGCCAGGAGAGCTCATCTCTCCAGCTGGGGGTTACTCAGACATCCCCTGGTGCTCCACTGACAGAAGAAATGGTGGATGTGCCCTGAACTGGAAAGTGGGCTTGGGGCAGGGGGCAGGGGTGATGAAGGATGGAAACTGCTCCAAGCAGCTTGGTTTGGATGGATGGGACACAGGATTTAATGGCCAGCATTAGCAGGAAGCTCTCTAGGAACTGTGGGCCAGAGAGGTGTTTGAAGCACCAGCCAGCAGCAAGGAGCATTCCAGGGACTTCTGCTGCCACTGAGGGAATGCTCTGACTTGCACAATGAGACAACTTAGACCAAAATTTGGATAAAACCTGGGCATTTTTCAGTGGCTTGGAAGTATAAATGCAAATGAAAGCACATTAAAAGCTAACCTTGGAAAAGAGGGAATAAGGGCAATAGCTGTGCGATATTTAATCACCAGAGGAGAAAAAGAACCAGCAGAAGCTAGAAAATACAAAGTACAAAAATGAAGCCAGTGGGAACAAAGCCTGTAAGTGACAAGGCTGGAAACATGAGCAGCTTTTTTTAGAATGCCTTTTGTTTTTGATATAATTGAACATGGCACTTGTCCATTACTGACTGGAGATAGCAGGTTTGTAATGAGAGGAGGGGAAGTGTTCTGTAAATATTTATTCTGTGTTGGTGCTGGTGTCATATGGAGATGGTGTACTTCCTAGGCAAACAGTAAAGAAGGATTTTAAATGGCACCTCTTGGGGCAAAGACTTTTTTGATCATCAGTCCCCAATAAATGATGTTTGTCATCCTGTGAAAGCCACCTGGAGGCATCTGTGGGTTGATCTCTGTCAGACTCTGGACTGCTGAGGAAAACCTATGAGGCTGGAAAAGAGCCAGCTCTGTTTTGGTCCTTAATGATGTCAAGAAGGCTGCCACAACAGTCCAGATGTGAAGTACTGGAACAGCAGGGAAGTAAATTGCTTCTCTCTAAAACAAGCAAGAAATCCAGGTCAACAAAATAAAATCAGATTGTCAGGAAGTAGCCAAAAAAATCTGTCAAAAACTACTTGATTTTTTTTAAGATCCTTGTTAATATTTACCTGGATCACTGTAGTGCTAATGGGATCTGAGAAGTTTACTTCTCCTAGAATTGAAGTGCTTAAAGCAGGGATATACTCAGTTAAAGTAATCATGAACTCTGTTACAGAACTGGCTAGCTTGCAGATTTCCTGGAACAGCTGTCAGTGCAACATAAACACTTTCTAAAATGGTGCTGGAGAAATTGCCCTTTTAGAGTGATTGGAAATATCCTAGTTGATGAGTGGAGTCAAGTCTGAGTTTCAGGAGGCTGGAGCCACAGAGCGTGACAAGAGGGAAGAATTTTGCAGCCTTGTTAAACCCATTTATTAATAATAATTGGTCCTGCACACAAAGGACCAATTTATCTTGCCCAGTTTGATTGCCCCATCTGTGGGCATCTTTCCTGAGTAGCTGGGCGAATGTGCTGACGAGGATGTTCAGCAAAGTATTCCCCTTTCCAAGGAGCAGACGTGCTCCTCAGGCTGCTGTCCCTCAGGCTCTGCCACCACCATGTCCATGGCATGGCAGCCATCCCAGCCACGACTGTCACCTCCCACCAGCGGGGCCACCTTCCTCTCCTGCTTGTGGACAAACTCAGCCCACAGCTCAGCAACACCAACCTTTCTTTAAGCACTTTTAAGGTATTACTCACCCAACCACCCCCCCAGAGCTGTGTGCTGGACACTCTCTCACCATCACATATATTCAATTCAAATGTTGCCCAAATCAGCCCAGAGGTCTCAAGCTGGCAGTGGAAGACATTCCCAAGAGACATCTTGCTCTTACAGAGTGAAGATAAGCCCGTCTACCCCCAGACCTGCCTGGTTTGAAAATTTCTGAGCTGTTCTGCTTTTTATCATCAACCACAGCTCTGCTTCCTCCCTGCCAGTGTGAAGACATTGAGAGCCTGAGTGGCAACATCTGCTCTAAAGATCTGGCTGTAAGCAAGGGAGACTGCAGCACTGAAAGAGTTAAAGACTAAAAGAAGGAAATGAAATGTCCTACCTTTCCTTCCAAAGGCAACTGAAGGAAGTTTCTCCAACTCTGCTTCCTATTAGTTACAGTATCAGAAGAAATAAAGCTGTTTTTATCTAATAAAATGAATTTCATTTATAAAAATAGTCAAACATCTTGATTAATGTATGCTAATTTATGTTTATTTTCCTGAATACATAAAAGAAACTAGGAGTGTTAGTTTTAGAAAAACACATTTGTGCCCAAGGCTTAAGGGCAGGCAAAGCTGTGACAAACACTGAGCTCCTACATCTTGGTGTGACAGAAACGTTCAGCAAGGTGTCTCCTTCGGTCTGTTTTTGCAGGTGTGCCATTTAATTTCAGTGGGCTGGGTTGCTGCCACTGAAGAAACAACTCATTCAAAACTGAAAGCCCATCTGGGAGTAGCAAAGGGATTATTTTTTACACATTACAACAAGCAAGGAAAAGAAGTGTGAGACCTTGGCATTTCCTCGTTCTGAAAGCCTGAATGATGCAGTCACTGGAAGAACCCATTTACTCACCACAGAAAGACTGAGGTGGGAAGAAGCCTCTCTGGAGCTTTGTACTCCAAGCCCCTGCTCACATTAGGGATAAAACTGTGGTTGGATCAGGTTGTTCTTGCGTGAAACTAACCTGCCTAAAAAGGCTACAGCAGTTTGTTCAAGCAGGCTTTTATGTATCCACTCCATTTTAGTTTGTATTAATAATTCAAGAAACCATTTTTAAATGCTGTTTTTGCAATCAATTAAATATTCCATTTTCTAAATGTCAAGTAAAAAATGCTTCATTCACTATTTCCTAACAAAATAAAATGTAAATTAAGTATTTGAATTAATGCACGTTATAACTGTGTGGTGCTTGTACAAATGGGAATAGATTAACATATCTACCAGGTTAAAAAGAGTGCCAATTTTAATGTAAAGTCTATATTTATCAGCATATTCACATAGCTCTCAGCCAATGACAGTAAACCCACCGAAATAAAGCACAAATGCAGAAAGAAGATGATTTAACCTGCGAATAAAGTCAGCAATTTAGAGAATTTTGGTTTGAATCAGACCACTCCCAGGTGCTTTTGTCTGTTCAGATGGGCATCTAAGCCCTGCTCTGCATGGGCTGCTACCTACAGTCCTTCCCACAGGGTGAAGGTGTCCAGCACTGGGATCTTGGAGCAGTGTTTGGAGGAGTTGGTGCTGAAGGGGAAGGGGCTCTCTGCTTGTCTGCCCTGTGATGGCTCTGGGGCCTCTTGGCAGGGCTGTGCCCTCTGCTGAGAGGCTCCTCAGGACTGTCCAACTCCTCCTGTGAACAGAGTGAGTGTCCCCCTTCTCTCCCCGCTCCTTTAGGTGTGTGTTTTAGGGAATGGAGGGATCACACCTCCCTTCCTTTGGTGCACTGCACGGAATGCACAGCCTGGCGTGTCGCGGGGCTCTGTCCTGAGACCACCCCAACACCGACACAAGCAGAGCTGCTCGTGGCCTCCTCCCCAAGCAGCCTGCTGGTCAACTTCTAGCAGCACACATTCACATCCAGCTGGCTTTGGGAGCACTTTTCTATCATCTCTGCTCACATTTCAAATTATTTAAGACACACGCTTTCTGGGGATGCTGCTTGACAAGCCACTGGAACTCACACCTGATTTTTGTGGCCTCCATCTTTATGGGGTTTTGAGCTGGCCAGACATCCTCTCCCTGCCCCAAACCCCCCAGTTTAACTCACTGTGCTGACACAAGGCCTGTGAGCCACGGTCCTGGAGTTTCCATGAGGTTTTCAGTCACTGCT